CCATAGCAGTAGTGCTGTCGTACCATGCAGTGATGCAGGTAGTCAGTGTGCTCTCCACAATGCAGCTGAGGATCTTGGCCAACATACCAAATTTCCTCAGCCTCCTCAGGAAATACAGCCGCTGCTGAGCCTTCTTGACCAGCTGTGTGGTGTTCAGTGTCCTTGTGAGATCCTCAGTGAAGTAGACACCTAGGTAACTAAAGCTGCTTGCCCTCTCCACTTCAGCCAATAAACAGCGGCTGGTGAGGCCTCCTCTTCTTCTTCTTGCTCTTTTGCCTTATCAGAGTTGAGGGTGAGGTTGTCGTCCTAACACCATGACAGCAGACCTGCCACCTCTCTCCTATAAGCCGCTTCGTCCCCTACAGTGATGCGACTTTAGTATGGTGTTATCCCTTTTGGAGGCGACACAGTCGTGGGTGCACAGGGTGTAGAGGATGGGACTGAGGATGCAACCCTGTGGAACGCCAGTAATAATATTGGCTGAAGTCCTGTTGCCGATCCTGACAGACTGGGGCCTGCCAGTCAAAAAGTCCTGTAGCCCGTCACATAGGGTGGGGTGTAGGCCGAGTGATGATGGTTGTGGTCTTGAAGCATGTGGGGACGGTACTCTGTCTGAGGGAGAGGTTGAAGATGGACATGAGAACATCAGTCAGCTCATTAGCACATGCTTGCATGTTTGCAGCCTAACTATATGCCTTATCAAAAAGGAAAGTTTAAAAAGTAGAGAGTGCATCTGTCTCCCAAATCTAAACTGGGAACTGGTTCCACAGAAGAGGCGTCTGAAAGCAGAAGGTCTCCCATTTTAGTTTTAAATACTCTAGGAACCACAAGTAAGCCGACAGTCTGAGAGGGAAGTGCTCTATTGGCATGATATGGTACTTTGAGGTCTTTAAAAAAAGACCCTGGTTATTCAAGGCCTTGTATGTGATTCTGCATTTTTAACAGGGAGCCAAAGAAGAGAAACCGGTATAGAAGAAACATCCCCTCTCTTTTAAGTCTCTCTCTGGTGCAGAGAAAAACAGTTTTGTCTAAAGTAACTGAAAACTATGATGTACAGGATTGATAACCACTGACTGACAAGACTGTTGGGGGATCTCCAGAAGAATATTTAAACTCTTGAGTAGCTTTTAAGTATTTTGGGGGGCTTTGAGGAGCACAATTTGATCAATTTTGCAACATTTGACTGAGTCTTAGACACACTGTGCACATTCTACTACTATCCTACTATCAACAGTCATTTTATCAATATACTAGTGACCCCGTTCCTCTGATAAATCATGTGGTAAAGTTTCTGTATACTCTTCCTATCATTCTCAAACAAGTTAATCTTAATTTTGTATCTCCCAATATTTGTTATTCTTTTCGAGGACTGGGCAGGTGTTTTCTGGCATTTCTGAGGTGTAACAGGAAATAGATTTAGCAACTGATTTAGCAATCACCAGAAAAGCAAAAGAAAACCAAACCAAAATAAAGAAACACACTTGACCACTCTGGAGTGTGTTGCTGTCTAGATAACTAATATCACAGGTCCATCAGTAAACTGCTTAATATGAACAATTTTTCTTTTCATTTTTTTTATTTTCCTTTTTTTGTTTTTGCCTCTCTCAGGTTACAGCTAGATAATTACATTCAAAATTAGCATTCCGACTTTATCTAACAAAAATGTGAGTTGGATAAATCACCACAGTAGACATGGTGTCAATACATATATCAGACTTTGTTCTGTGATGATGAAAGAGTGCACACGCTTAGCTCAGGGTGAACGTACTCACAATTTGCTGAACTTAACCTGATCAGGTGTTCTGGAATGGGGAAACAGAGTTCCTCTGAGTTAATCAAGTCAGAGTCTATTTTTAAATTAAATTAAGATCTCGCCTTAGTTAATGTGCATATTTTACCTGTGGGCTTTATAGCCTCCTATTAAATAAAACCTCAGAACTCTTGCTTAGGCTAAAAATGTTGTCAAAGAGGGTTCTTTGCTAAAATTATTTTTAATAAAGAATAAGCAAAGTACTAAACGAAAGTCTAAATAGTTTTGTTAATAGTTATTAATTACAGTTTTATATATTTAATTAACTCTAAAAGTATGATGACTTAAGTACAATGTGGTTAGACTTAAGCACATGGTTTAATGAATGTCCATTTATGCACTAAACATATCTTCCTATAGGAGATGCACCCTCACCCTGGCCGGAATTATGCTGGGGAAGTACTCTGTGCTTACCTGCCTGACAACCGTGAAGGCAAGAAGGTTCTTGCTCTGCTGGAAAAGGCATTCAATCAGAAGCTTCTGTTTATAATAGCCACAAATGGAAATGGAGAGGACGTGATCACTACAAATTCCATTCCACTAAAAATATTTTCAGGAGGTGGAAACATATGGTGAGTATACTATAGCAGACTTGGTTTGAAAGGCCTAATGCTTATCCCTTTGAATTGTGCAGCACTTTGGTTAAGCCTTGATTTTAAATGTGCTTAGAAATAAACTGACTTGACTTGAAGTAAAATGAGCAAGCAAGCAAACAAACAAACACAAACACATTTACAATTGTGTGTTAGAAACTGAAATGTCTAGACAGATGGCAGATGACCGCTCCTTCCTCAGCCTGGTTCTGCTGGAGGTTTCATCCTGTTAAAAGGGAGTTTTATTCTTCCCACTGTCGCCAAAGTGCTTGCTCATAGGGGGTCATATGATTGTCGGGTTTTTCTCTGTATGTATTATTGTACCTTACAATATAAAGCACCTTGAGGCGACTGTTGTTGTGATTTGGTGCTGTATAAATAAAACTGAATTGAAGTGATAAAATTAGATCTGAAAGAACACTACTGTTAAAGTTACTGATTTAATAGGTAGCTTTAAATATATTATTTAGTCCCAATTTTCTGTCTTTACATCTACATCGGAGTGTGTGTGTGTGTGTGTGTGTGTAATGACATTTATTTTTTAATTTAATTATTTCTTTCTAATCTGTATTCTTTCAGGGATAACCCAGATGCTGACTACCTGAAGACTGTGAAAAAGCTACTGAACAATAATGGCATTAAATAACATAAGACATACTGGTTAATAGATGGATAAAGCTACATTTTTTCTTTTTCCTGTAGCAGAAGTAAGAAGAAAAGGTGGTTGCAGTTTAGGATGAAAAGCAGATCTTGTACTAATGAATAGTTTGGTGGTTTAGTCCTGTCTGCATGCCAGTAATATTCGCCCACTATGCAACCACCAATTTATGTGTAATAGATAAGTTATGCGCAGAACTATATGTAAAATTAAGCCCTGCTTATGCCCCCTGGCTATTAGTGTAAAGATTTAAGTAGAATGGAAAAAAATAAAAAAAATTATTTCTTATGCATACTTGTAAGTTCTGTATTGTGTTGTTGTCAATTAAAAATAGCACAGATGTTGATATTCAAGAGGCTGTCATTGCTCTTAAAGCAGTATGCTTCCATTTGAATTTGTAGCCAGCAACAAATGTCCAGACTCTCCTCAAAGACCTGCACAGTTTTTGGAGAGTCTTGAAACTTATTTAAGTCTTTCTCCAAAGATTGTGCTGGTTATTGGAGAGACCTGAGGCACACACACACACACACACACATAAATGGACAAACACACACACACACACGCTGTATCTCTCCCTCTCCAGTGCAAGACTGAGATAGTCTTAAAATTCGTGGATCACAGACGCTTCCTCCTCAACTAAAAGCTATCTTACTAAAAGTTATTGCACAAGAGTTTACAATAAGAGAGCAAGAAAAGAAAGGGGCAATTTAATTCTGAATATTTAAAGAAATTTAAATGGTTTCTTCTAGTGCAATCAGAAAACCCATAAAAACACAATTTAAAATCCAGTGCCTTTCATGTAGATGTCACCTGGAAAGGAAGACAAAGTGAAGAAGACCAATCACATTAATCAGGCACAAATAGCTCAAATTAGAACCCACATCAAGTAGTTTAAGCAACAGACACATCTCAGCATCACCTACTCAGAGGAAACTATGTCAAACTGGCTTAGTCTTCAACTGCTTTGAAGAACCCAAACTGAACAAGACCAAGAAGTAAGACAGAACTACTTGACCCATTAAACACCAAGGAAGGACCATGGAATCAATTAAAGTGTCATGGTCCTGGGCCATGAACTCTCTTGTACAGAAGTTAAGTAC